AGTACATATAGACAAGAAAGGGTTGAGCCTTCAGAAAGCCAGAAGAAAGGAAAACAGCAATAAATTCTAGAAGATGGAAGAAAGGTGGATCTAATATATGGGAAGGAGGAAGACTGCAGCACAAAGAACAAAAGGGAAAACAGGAAGAGATGAGGTGTGAAGAAGTAAAAAAAAAAAAAAAAAAATCAACCAGAATGAAACAACTCTCCCACAAACAGAAATCAAGGGACATGTTTAAGAGAAATCACAGGGGCAGCTCCATATGTCAAGAAGGTCTGAGTGAAGGTTAAAGGGTCAAATAATGATGCAAGGCTTATATAACCAAAAAGTAGCAGTACCTAGTGTTTTCGATACACTTTCAGCTCTATTCATTGTTCCCTCTGTTATTTATATGATAGCTAATAACCTTATACTATTTTCTTCTGACACCAATTTCAGTTATTACCTTTAGACATCCTACTATAGATGACAACTCATAACACAAGCTTTGGTTAAATCAATATTTAGTCTTTATAAATATTATGACTATGTAAACACTGTTCACTACTTGAAGGAATATACCCTAGTTATATTTCCCGTACACATTTTTTTTAAGTTTATAGTTGTTTTGCTTTAGAACTTGCTTTCTTTTCTTTGTACCCATCTCAAATTCTTCTCTTTGTGTCTCAAGTGAATTTTCAGTACTCAAACCTATTGGATAATTCATAACTTCTAACATCTCCCCTGAAGACAGCCCTCCTGGAATCATCTGTCTGCTTCAATCTGTACTGAGGACTGTCTAAGTGGAGTGAATGAACTAATCTTCTGAGGCATCCTTTATTCATCATAATGGGAAGGAATTTTCTTCATTGTGCTTTTGTAAATGTTGGGTCCTTTGTTGCCTGAATCTCTTTCCTTTAGTTAACAATCTTCTACTGTTGGCAGAGCCCATTTTCTAGGAACTTCCAAAGAATAGGTACATGTCTGAAAATATCTTCCTTGAAAATAATTTTTACTAAGCATTTCAAAGGCATTGCTCCTTGATTTTCAACTTTCAATGCTGAAATGTCTGATACTTTTCTTATATCCACTCCATATAAATTTATTTCTCATAGTACTATACACCAGGAAGTCCAAGCCCAAGTTGCCAGCAGATATGGTGTCTGGTAAGGACCTGTTTCCTGATTCATTGATAGCCATCTTTTTGCTGCATCTTCTCGTTACATAGCAGAAGGGGTGAGGGAGCTCTCTAGGGTATATTTTATAAGGGTCCTAATCCCATTCACGAGGGCTCAGCCCTTGTGACCTAACCACCTCCCAAAGGCCCCACCTCTAAATATCATCACATTGGCTTCAACATATGAATTTTGAGGAAACACATTTAGCCCACAGCAAAACTTCTCTTTATCCCTGGTGTTTTGATATTTTATAAGGACCCTTCTTTAGAGTAGGGTGGTCTTTCTGGCTTATTTTAATTATTATTATTATTAACAGGCTTTCAGTAAACCGTTTTAATCCAGAGACTTATGGTCCTCATGTTGAGGGAAAAAAACTTTTTCTGGTATTTTAGCATTCTACCTAATCTAACAGCATGATTATCACTATAACATTAAGAAAGAGAAAGTGATGCCAATTAAAATGTGTCACATCTTCAATCATAAAAAACATTCTGACTTCAAAGATATTAAGATATAGGGAAAAATATGTATCTCATGCTACTTCTTTCCTAATTTCTTCCCCTCCATCTCCCCACTGTCTCTTTCTGGAATTCCTATTAGGTAAATGTTAGACTGCTTCTCTTTCATTTTCTCTCCTATTTTCTCTTTGTCTTGTTCTATTTTATGAAGTTTCCCCAACTTTAGCTTCTAAATATTCTACTGAAATATAAAATATTATTATCACATTTTAAATTTCTAAGAGTTTCTTTTTCTAACAAAAAAATAGCATTCTACTTCTGTTTTAGAAAATCAACTTCACCTCTTAGCATTCAAAGGATATTGATTTTTCTTTTTCCTGCATTGTCTCTTTCCCTTAAGAACTTATTCTTTCATGTTAGAAGCCTTTCTCAAGTGTCTGGTGATATTTGGTTTTTAACTCATATTTACGAGTGAGGCACTAAGTGGATCAGATGAGCTTGTCAACTGGTAGGCTTTCTTGTAGGTTATCTGGCCAAGCAGCCAGCCTTTACAATGAAGATCTCCCAAATGGCAGTTACCTGAAGGTCTTTTATCAGGGATCATTGTTTCCTCAGGAAAGATGACTCCACTCACCAGTATGGAGGATATGGTCCTGGCTGGTGAAATGCGTAGGGGCAGGGGAATCACAGTACCACTGAGGAGTAGCCTTTCACTTGATCTCCCTGTTTCCAGCACAGTGTCTCATCCCACTTACTATGTCTGGAGCCTCTCTGGTTAATTTTTCTCTACGAAATACTTTCTGTCTCTTCCAACGGTAAGAGATGGGATAGAGTGAAGGCTTTTTATGTCGACATTCAACCAATCGCTATTTTCAGCCTGGGCCATACCTCCACTTTCCATAGTACTAGATGACCTCATTCTTGAGCTCTTCTGGGGCTCTGGGGCCCTGAACAAGGTTTCCTTCCCACTGATCTACTACTTACCAGCATGAAGGTCCTACAACTCCATCTTTTTATGAGCTTTTACCTGCTTTTCATATTTATATATTGTGGTTCAAATAACAGAAGTCTTCTAATTTCAAAGACCACTTTTCTGTTTTTTATTTTCCTTGTTGTTTAGGGTGATAATATCTCAGAGAAGAGGACAAAAATAGCTTTATTTTGCCATTTTAAACTACAAGTTTCCCTTATGTTTTTTTTGTGTCTCTAACAAGTTAGCAGAGTCCTTGACACCAAACAGACCTTCATTAAATACTTCATTAATGAATGACTGCTGCTGGTGTTGCTAAGTCGCTTCAGTCGTGTCCAACTCTGTGCGACTCCATAGACAGCAGCCCACCAGGCTCCCCCGTCCCTGGGATTCTCCAGGCAAGAACAGTGGAGTGGGCTGCCATTTCCTTCTCCAATGCATGAAAGTGAAAAGTGAAAGTGAAGTTGATCAGTCGAGTCTGACTCTTACTGACCCCATGGACTGCAGCCTACCAGGCTCCTCTGTCCATGCAATTTTCCAGGCAAGAGTACTGGAGTGGGTTGCCATTGCCTTCTCCAATGAATGACTAGATATAGTCAGAGTACAGACTCAGCTGCTCTAACAAAAAGATCCCCAAATGCAAAGGCTCAAACAAGAGAAGTGCTTATTTTTCTCTCACGGAGCATTCCACAGGTACAAGGCTAGGTTAGAGTGAAGAAGTGTCGCTAGGTCCTTAAGTCACTAAGAATCCAAGTTTCTTCTTTCTTGTTATTTTATATCCATTCTATAGTTTTGTTGTGGCCAAAACTGGCTAATCATCATCCTCTGCATTCCAGCCCATAGAAAGGGGGGGTTCAAAAAGGGGTCAATCAACCTACAAGAAAGTCTACCGGTCAATGAGTCCCATACATAGCTACTATCTCACAGTTTCTAGGGGCCAAGAATCAGGGCCAACAAACATGTGAGCTTGGAAGCAGACCCTTCTCCAGCCAAGGTTCAAATGAGACTTTAGCCCTAGCAAACTCCCTGACTAGTCCACGGGAGACTCTGAACAAAAGTATCCAGTTAAGCCATGCCCATATTCCTGGCCCACAGGAACTATGAGTTAATGAATGTATGTTGGCTTAAGCTACTAAGTTTAGGGTAATTCATTACATATAAAATAACTACCACAACATCTCAACTTTCACTATTTAACAGTAACTGACAAAAACATGCAATTGTATATTAAAGACAAATACAATTTAAAAGTATAAGGCTAAGAAATATTTGACAGTCTTTTGGATTTAATATCATTAAAGAAATATTAAACATTAGGCTTTCATCTTATATCAGATTCCTGTAATGGGGAATGATCTCAACAACTTAACCCACATTGCTGGTAGTTTCTTAATCCTGCACTTTTTCAACCTATCTACCTCTAGAATGCAATCTTCTTTCAGATGTAAATGTCACTAATGCTGGGAGTACTCAGAGGGAAAGTATGAGCCATGTATACAGATTATCATAATGGAAAATGATTTGATTTTATACTACAGAAAATAAAAAATTTGAAGGTTTTCCTTCCAAAGGAATTGTTGTAGCAAGAAAAACCAGGTGGCTGATGGCAGAAAAATCAATATTAATACTAATTGTTTTTATATTTACTTACATGTTAATAAAGATATACTATAGACCAATGAAGTAATGACCCAAATAATCAGGAAGGTGCAGAAATCTAGACCAAATATGAAGGCAGCCTCAGGCACTAGGCTTTGCATGTTAGCCAAGACTTAATCCATATGTTCCTTTAATTAACAAGCACTCATGGAACATCTACTGGGTACTAGATGTCGGATATATGGATGTAAAACAAGGAATAATAGTAAATAATGTAAAACAATAATAATAATTGTCTTATATACAGAACAAAATGATGATAATAACTAAGCTGCTAGCAATGGTTATCTTGTATGAGGAGACAATTTATTTATTTGTTTCTTTAATATTTAAAGAGTGCCTATTATGTGCCAGGCATTGGTCTAGATGCTGGGATTCAGGACTGAATTAAAAAAGCAAGATGAGGAAATGGTGAACAATTATTTTCAACACTAATCATCTTTAAAAAGCATGACCATTTATTTCATCAATAAATCTATGATTAGGTTTTTTTTAAAGCAAGCTTTAAGTTACTAACGAAAAACTTTCAACAATATAAAGTCTGTCTTTATAATCTGTCTTAAAATCAGGCTTGTCAAACAGTTTTTAAAAATACCACTGGCATATTCAAGAATGTATTTTGGTAAAGTTAACGTGAAAGCATCAATAAGTTTCCAACACTGTAAAATCATTACTTTGCCCAGTTTAAAAATAAGAATGTTTAAATTTTATGGTATCTGATTTATCTTTATCCCTATGATACAATATTTTACTTACAGTTTGTGGATTAATCTCTTCCTCTCCCATAGGTTCATCCATAATTTGCTGTCCATTCTGTGAAAAGCATAGCAAGTAGAAAGTTACCAAAACAGATTTCTTATCAGTTCAAGTCAAACGAAGGCAGACAAAACAAAATCATATAGGAATATTTTCACTCTAAAGGGTTCTAATGAAATAAAGAACCACCATTTAAGTATGCAGTTGCCAATTTGCAACAGGTTGTGCTTCAAAAGTTAATGTGTAAATTGATGTTTAATAGTATAAAAATATTTTTCCATGGAAATGATGTAATAGCTGATGGTTACCTTTCCAGGTAATCCCTGGCAAGCCCTTGAGTTTAAGAGTTAAATGCATTACAATGGTCTTATTTAAACCTCACCAAACATTGTTTACCATACTTTCTATGGCAAAACACATTCTTAATTCAAACTCCATTGATAATCAGGGCAAATGATTAATTATTGGGGGGAAAATTAAGCTAAATCTCTACATCAATAGAGATTCCAGATGGATTATATGTTTAAGTGTCAAAAAGTAAAATTATACAAGCATTAGAAGAAAACACAGGTGAGTACTACTTATGAGGTAAGAAGGGTAGAAATCATAAGGTAAAAAAATGACATCTGAATCCATAAAAGTTTAAAATGTCTCTGTCAGACATAAAAAAGATAAAGACAAATTGATTACCAAAAAAAATAAAAGCAACATAAGACAAAGGGTTGGTATCCTCAATACATAAAGAACTTCGTTTTACAAACCTGTAAGAAAAAACACTGAACTTCAACAGAGATGAGTAATAAGGGAAAAAAAGAGTTCAGCCTTAGTACTAATCAAAGAAATGCATTTAACTGAAAGATACTTTTGCCTTTCAAATTGGTAATGATTTACAGAAAAAAATAACACCCAGTGCTAATACAGGTATGGGGATAAGAACACTCTGGATATACTGCTGTAGAGTGTAAATCAGCACAACCTTTCAAGAAGGCAATCTAAGCCTGTATTTAAAAAATAAAAAAGACACATAAAACTTTGAAATGTCTCATCATTTCGACTTTTTTAAAAAATGGACAAGTGTGCAAAGATGTACATATAAGAATGCTCACCATAACTTTTTCCAAAAAGAACTCCAAATTGGAAACCTAAATTCCTAACAATAGAGAACTAGTTAAATATAATATGGTACATCCATATAATGGAATACTATGCAGTCACTAAAAATGATGATAAAGATGTAAGTTTATTGACATGGAAAGACAGTCACATGTAATAAGTGAAAAAGCAGTTTACAAAACAGTATGGATTGTAATGATCCCATTGTAAATAAATATATACATGTTTTAATGTATATATTTGTATGGGAAAAACTCTGGAAGGATATACACCAAAATGTTAACAGTGGCTATCTCTGAGTGGTAGAATTTTAGACAATTTAAATTGTCTTGCTTATCTGGATTTTCTAATGTGTCTACAATGTCTACAATGAATATGTATTATTTGAATAATTAAAAACAAAAGCAAAAGTCAGGTATACGTAATGTCTTCTCTAGCTCCCTCACTGGAAAAAGAAGTAATGCTCCTGGGCACTTGTTAATTCAACAAAGTACAAGGATCTAAGCTAACCATCTTTAGAGAATTATCAACTAGGAAATAAAAGGTAGCCATCCACTACCCCACAACCCACAAGAGACATCTGCTCTGATTTTGAACTCCTCTCTGCACTCTCTCTATCTCTATTTATTCATCCATCCATCCATCCATCCATTTCATTTCATTCATGCTATGTTCTAGGCACCAAACTGGAGATGAAAACCCTCATCCTAAAGATCCATCCTACAGTATCTCATAGGTTTACTGACCCATAAAAAGGGCAACTTCCATTTTCAAATACTCATAAAGTATGTTCCAGGGTTAGGAAATGCCCACACAAGATTACAAAGCCAAAATACAGAAATGGTGCCAAAATACAGAAAAGGAGGAAGAGGGTATAAAATCTTTATTTTCTGAAGATACTTTCAGAGGCTATGTATTGTCCACTCCTATGGTAAGGACTCAAATAACACCAGGATACATCTTTCTCTTAAAAGCCACAACCATTTATTCAACTGAACACTGATCATTTTTATCCAAATATCCCAGAAAAATCTTAAAAGAGCTCTTAAGAACACTGGTTTTGGAGTCAGACACCTAGATTCAAAGTCCTGCTCTTACACTGATTATGAAGACTTGGACAAGTTATTTAAACTATCTAAGCTTTTTCTTCATATGGAAAGTGGAGATTAAACGTCTTATCTTCAGAGAGCTGTGAAGACTAAATAAGATAATGATATAAGACCTGTCAGTAAGCAATCAAAGTTAGCTATTTTAATTATTGTCAAAACTCAATCACTCCCTCTGCGGCCCACCAATTTGTTACTTCTGCATTCACTGTCTCAGTGAATGGTATCATTAATCTAGGAGCCCAAAGTAGATTTTCTCACTAATTGTACATAGTACTCTCCTCCTATTAACACAGATCTACTCAATGGCTCCCCATTATTTGGCTTTTAGAACCCTTGGTTTAACTTGAGCTACATTTATATTTTCCATGGGAATATAATTTGAGAATCATCTGCTCCTTGTGATTTTCAAGGCAAAGTAAGAATCCCAGCTTGTAACTTACTTTTTGGTGTAGGAGAAACAGCACTGAATCTGAATTGGTAGACCAGGGATAGAGTCCTAGATCTGCCACTTAAAAAGCTTTATGATTTGGGGCAATTCAGAGAGTCTCCTGATCCATTTACTTTATATCTGTTCAAAATGGGGGTACCTGCCCTGTCTACTCAAAGGGTTGTTGTTAAGCTCAAAACTGAGTTAACTCATAAGAAAATACATTATAAACTGTAAGAAGCTGTACCAACACCAATTACTATTACTAAGGTAAGGTAGGTTCAAGAGGATAAAATAATACTGCATAAAGTCATTTTGACCTTAGTTTTCTGTTCCAAATATACAAACATACTCATATCATATGCTTAAATTCTTTCTATCCACTTCTCACCTATATTTGAACACTATCAGGACAAGAAAGTACTATACCTCACTGGGCAGCTTACCATACCATTTCAGGAAAAGCACTGACTGCTAGATAATGCTCTTCTTCATATAGTAACTTTCCTCAAATGCAAATTCTCTTTAAGAGGATTACTAACATGCGATGACTAACTTGTCTGTACTCTACCTACAAAGTCACAGAAGTAAATCTACGGCTGTGACTATAAACTCAAAGAACACCTCAAGTCTGTTCTTTTCTAGATAATTCAAGTTCCTTCAAACACTCCATTTAAAAGATGAGACCACTTTCTTTACTAAGCATGCAACCAATTCATCTTAAATGGCGGAAAAGAGAATTGTGTGCAATTAACACTGCAACCTTGATACAACCAATGCAGAGTAAAGGGCATATCACCTCCCTTGTTCTACATAATAAACATATTAATGCAGTTCACAAATGCATTATTTTTGGAATGTCCACAACACATTGCTGAGTCATACTATTTATTTCTTTCTTGTTTTCTGTTGGTTAAATTCTTGTTTTCTTCACTTTCACTGCAACTAAGCCCTCTATCCTCTATCTTGTTTTTGATACTTAGGCTTAGAGCCTTAAATTTTTTTATTCATCTTTTTCCAGTTCTTATTCATTGCTACAACCTCTATAGATTAGATTCCAACTCTGTCAATCAGCTTCTTCACTATTTTCAGCTTCATGTAATCCATAAATCGTACAATGCATTCTCTTTTTTTTTTTTTACAATGCATTCTCTTTTCTGAATTTTCCACTCAGTTAATTAATACAATATACTAACAAAGCAATCTAAGAAAAAAGTTAAGTGAAATATAATCTAAAGGTAATTTATGCTCTACTTTTTTTCAAACTACTAATGTTTCAGCCTTTTTAAATATAATTATTTATTTTTAATTGGAGGATAAAAACATCTACTTCCTTTCTGAGTTTACAAAAGATTTAGAACTTTGAACAATTTAATTTTTAAAGCAGGAAAATATAAAAGCTAATTTTATCCTACATACCAGTGTAGTGTTACCAAAATCAACCCCAAAAGGCAACTTTACTTCAATAAACCTTTTGTATCACTTCAGCAAAACAAGGATTCAAATGCTAACTATTTAGAAATGAGGATAATTACCTCTGTGGCTAAGAATTTTCCCTTCTGAAAAAGGACTCTTGACTTCACTAGAGATTAGGTTACATGGACCACTAATGTGACTCACTATTGTAATACTTATAGTTTCAAAAGTTTAAGAAATAATTCCAATTAAACAAGAAAATTTATTTCTCTAATTTTAAGAAATAAACAGAAAATACATGTGGTCTGAATCTGGCTAGTATCAGGTTTAAACTCCAATCCTGTCACTTACTACTGTAGTTAACTGGCTAAGTTAACTTAACTTAGCTTCAATTTTTTCATTTGTAAGATGCATATAGTATCTACTTCACAGGGATGCTATAATTAAAAGGACTCACCAAGGGACAATAGATGCTCAGTAAATGCTACTTCCTGTCCCCTCTTTGCCTTCAATTGACTGTGTAATATTTCTATTTCTACAGTTAGCTTCCAAAAGTCATAATGCAATGAAGAAGTACAGGAGAGTATTGAGATACCTGTTTCACCACTTACTACAGCCAATTTCTTGCCAAGCAGGGTGGAAGAGATCATTCATATGTGTGATATATTTTTACACAATGTGGCTAAAGAATGAGTACGAGTGAAACAGAATAGTTTAAATGCGAGGCAAATGTATTTATCCTCTCTCATCCCACCATAATGCCTTCCAGCCAAAAAATCACAGAGCTTGGCAGACTGTACATATGCAAATATTATGTGAAATACTGGAAAAGGTTAGGAAATGCTAATCATGCTTTACTCTGGTAGTCTGAATGTGTAAAAGTCAAAAATTAGAATAACATACAATATGGGTCTCACCAGAACAAATCAGACAAAGGAGACTGTTAGCCTCAGTTTCAGAAGGTATTGTTTTCAACACAACTTCTAATGTTG